GTAGGAGCAGTATTAGGGTACACTATGAAAACACCAGTCAAAGTTATAACCAATTTTTTTCTGTTCACTCAATAATAAATAATACCAATTCTTAAGCCCGTATCATTCATAAATACTGATAGAATTTCTATGTTTTTCTTCTGGTCTTGCAAATTTTGCAAACTGATCAAGACCACGGACCTCTATCCAGACGCACAGCGAAAACCTTGTGATGTCTGGACCAGTAAACATTTATAAGCTTTTATTTGAATAAGTAACGCAATTCGTTCCGTTAATATATCGCATTACGTATTTATCGAATCAAGCGAACAGTGAAATGGCAGCGTGGGATGCTTTTGGTAGTTAGTATATTATACCTACGATGCAACTGCAATTTTAAACGATTAGTCCATTATTTAATTTTAAAAAGCAAAACGTTCGGCTTGTGTTGAAGACTAAATAAAAGCCACTTAAACATCTTTGAAATTTGTGAACTTCATTCAAATGTTTCTATAAAACTATAATTTATAGCAATTTATTATTATTATTATAGCAACAGACGTTTGTACGCATTTTTTAAAAGTATGTCTTGAATAAATGAATAACTGCTACTTTACAGAAGATAAAACAAGAAGATTTGGTCAATTTAGTTTATTATTTAAAATGCTAATTTGTAAAAGATTTTTATATACATTGCGATTGTCATATCAAGACAAAATAGTGTTGAAAGGATGCCCACCAAACACAGCAAGATTTTTGTCACATTCATGTGCTAGCGATAAACAATCTGCTTAGCTGCTTTGTTGGTATGTTATTGGCACAGTTCTAGTAGGCATCTTTATTTAATGCTAGTTCAGCTTTCGCCTGCCTAGTTTGAGTACTAAAAATTTTCAAATCGTTTATTTCGTTTATTTTGCTGTACAAATAATTTTTTTCCTATAATTCTAGTTACTGAATTCAAGTCGCAGTTGTTGCTTTTACCATATGTTTTAGTATTGGTAATGGTGAATAGATATGCCAATAGAAATTTGTTTTTACCAACCGAGTTCGATGTAGTTAGTGTATTGTATTTTATTAAAATGTGATTGCGGAAGCAGGTTTAAATTTTAAAGTTTCTAAGGTAACTTTCCTTATGTTCTAAAGTAAGTAATTTTCAATTAAACGGTTGATTTTAATATCACAAAGGAGAGGTTGTAGAGGTTTCTTTTAAGCGACACGTTACAAAAGATTTTTCATTAAATCGGAAAGTGGAACAGAAAATTCCAATTTTAAATTACAATGGCTAAAAAAGACTGTCTGAACCCGTCTTGCAAATTTTAGGCCGCCGAAGACGTTGTGAAGTAGGTTACAGCAAAAACACGAATTAACCGTTAGATTTAAAAGTCATGGTTTCATTTAATTGTCAGTGATTTGAATATACATTTCGGCTCATCGGCAAAAAAAAGTTGAACCGAAGGGGAAACTGTCTGGCTTTATTAACTGAACGAAGTTTTCGGTAAACGAGAAAGAAAACGAAGGGGTCAAGTTACACATCCTCATATTCCTTTTATTACTTTCTTTTGAGACTTACGAATAAAAATCGAGATGTGTCTGTCGATAATAAATAATTTATCAATTAAGACTAACGTCATAGTAGATTAACTGAAAAACTGCTTCATTCAATCTGTTTTGATTTTTAGTTCTTATTCTTTTACGTTTGTAACGATGCAAAACTTTTATCAGAAATTAAGATCTGTACTTATTTCAAAATACCTCAATTTATCATCGAAGGCCTGTAGCACACACCGACTGTACAATTATGCTTGTAGTGTAGTGTTGAGTTTCCACTCTAAAACGGAAATTTTTGAAATCTGCCTTAGTTATTTTTAATTGCATTTTAATTTCGTCAAGACTACCCACAAAATAAAACAATAACCAGCGTCTAATTTTTACAGCACATTAATAGAAAAATTATGCTTCTGGATCTGCTTTTTTAGTAATTAAACTCTTAAACTTACTGAATTAGGTTAGAAAATCATTCGAGAACTAAATTTGCTGCTTGATGTGACTGGAGTTGCATGGTGTCCTTTTCAAAAATATACTCGTTCACAATATGAAACTTATGAACGTTTGACATTTTGTTTCAGACGCTGTATGGCTGGGTGGTAAAACTTTACTTTACAATATTTCAATTTAGTGAAAATGATGTTCAAGATAAGTTCTTTGAAAATATTGAGGGATTTTATAAATTCTTTCAGTTTATTGAAATAAATCTCTGCAACTGCTGCTGCTGTTTATGGATTTTTTTTGCCATATGGAGTTGACGTGCATCAGCATTGTTCCTCAGAGTTAGCGTCCAAAATGTCTTATGGTACATATTCTTAACAAGTTCTTATTTGACTTAGTGAATATACCTAGCAAAAATACTAAATGTAGTTTTTCTAATTCGATTATATCTCGGATTGCTTTAATTCCTTAATTTAGATTTTTTTGGTCGTATCAAATGGATGAGGGTATGATCATATATTAAACTTCTGTCCTAAAGTAGTGAGGTGTTTGCTTAAAACTCTTTGTTGCTTTTTTTCTTTTTATTTATTTATCAGTGATGATACTGAGAATTAAAATAATCGCCAATTGCGGATTTCAAAAAATTATTGGTTACCCAGTTTATCCGGATATATATACATATCACGAACTTGAATACACATCTTACCGGTAATACCGACAAATTGAATACCAGCTGCCGAAACTTTCGCAAATACGTATTAGTTTGAATCAAACTTCGGTTCATTTGGCAAATTAAGTTTGACGGTGGGATTATAACTTCAATCTTAGTTATCCGAGTCGTCCCTCTGAAGCTGGCAAGATTCGCTTTTGCCCCAGGCGCGTCACGCCAGCAAAATCCCAGCTGACCCTAAACACACACGACGCCATCTGTCACGATTGTATAATCCGCGGAATTAAGGTAGCCTGAGTCCACTGTGTTAAATATTTGACACGGGTTCCCGTGCCTGGCCACGTTGCGTCCTAATTCTCTTATAGATACGTCTTAGCAACAGAGGCATCTCGCAGATTGTCACTTAATTATTTAGTGGGATTTAAACGTTTCCTGTTTCGTATATAGATTACAGGTGAAATGACGAATATAAGTGTTTTTCTAGCAGTTAAGAACAGGGGACTAAAATTTTTACAAATATATTCGCCTTGGTTACGTTTAATTAAGTTTTATTTAACTAACCGTACAGATAACCGCTGATGGTGACAATGTAACAATGACCTCAGTAGCTTTCCAATAGTGAAGCTGGGTGTTCCGCAAGGGACGGTGCTTGCCCCAGTCCTTTTTAACATTTAACATGTTAACGAGATATTCACGTTAATATCCAGAGAGCATGGGACATGATCTGTTTTGCAGATGACATTGCCATGTTTATTCAAGAACGTGGTCTGAAGTAAAAGTAAAAGCCGAAGAGACTATGAAATGTACAAATTGTTGTATGATAAGAACTTGAATGTTAACAAGGAAAACCTTCTTGTATTTTCAATAAAGAATATGAATGACTTTAACTGTCAGTATTCTCACTGCCAAAAAAAATATTAATTTTTATTTTTTTTGGCTAAATTCTGAGTGAATTTGTTGGCAGAAATTGGCCAAGAAAATTCGCGAGAAAAAATTTTAACCGCATAAAACAGAAATAATAGCATTGATACATTGTAACCAAAATTGTGTTATCCAAAGCGGGATTAAAAACTGGTTTTTATATTTATTTTGTACATAAATTAATAAGCCAAACCGTGTTGGCAAATATTCGACGGAATATTAACAGGGCAACAGAGTCACTTCCATCACTTCCTTTGGTGGTGCTGAACAACCTGCCATAATAAAATCTTTGATCCAAAGACAAGAAAGCACAGACAGACAATGAACTTTTTTATCCTATTAATGTGTTTATAATTACTGTTGGACGTTTTAATGTGTGAAATAGTCTAATTTAAATTTTAAAGTACTGACATTGACGAAGTGGAACGAACTAATATCACTGCAGCACTACTAATCCTTAAAGAGAAATATAGTACTACGGAAACGGACAGGAACTAACTAAAAATATGAATAAAAGAACTCAAGGAAAAGTTTAATTTTAGGAAAAGTTTCCAAATTACCAGATGTTATTAATTCCAAGAATTTACCGAATTTATTAATTAGGATGCCAGTAATATTTAAAATTAAAAGAACATTATGTTCTTTATGTAATACTTTTTTTATAATACCCATAATTAGCATTAAATTACTCAGTAGGTGATATTAGTAGGTTTTTATATCCCTACTCGTTTTCAATTAATTTATTATTATTACGTATTTTTTCATCTTTGTGAGGTTTAGTCAACTAACCAAAACCAATCAATTGTTGAACAATAATTAATTATTGAATTATTTACTTAATAAAATTTGTATTTAAGTGAGTGTAAATAAGACGTCTTTTATGTAATAAACATTTAACAAATTTAAACTAATTAAAACGTTAGCCAATCAACAGACTTTGACAAGCTTCAAATAGCGACATGAAAATTGCGTAGCGTTTGGCCGGTATTTTGTTAATTCAACCGAGTAATGTCATGCCCTTTGAAGGAATTGTAAAATAAAATTAAAATAGATAAATGGTAACATTTTAGTTTGAATTTAAATACCATTTGACAGCCTAAATAATAAATTACCGTTTTATTTGGAAAATTTGGGGTCATTTCATATCAACAACCCGTAAAGTGGATTTTTTTTTAAATTCGTTTTTTTTTGAGCGTCAAGTTCTTTTACGTACCTCGTCGTCCTTAATGGGAAACTCGGTATAAGAAGAAACCCACCCGTGATCTGTTTTGTATTATTTTTCTTTTGTGGTAGTACCCAAAGTTTCCGAATTCATTCCCACGTTTATATCATTAATTGGAAAACAGTTTTTTGAAACAGGAGTTTTAAACTACTCCATTTTATGTGATTTGAGAGTTTTTATTTTGTTTTCACATAAGCTTCAAAAAACTTAACTTTGTTTCAGATTTCATGCGAGAAGTTTGTGACATATAGACATCCAAAGTGCCCAGACAGGTGAGTCTTGAAAATTTTCAGGAATATTGATAAAATACAACAAAATCTGATTTCAATGCCGAGCAGCACTATAACCTTTGCATATGTTTCAAAACTCGACCATAAATCTACATTTTATGTAAGCAAATGCAAAAATTTTCTATCCGAACTCTAAAAATCTCACGGGACTACAAACTTTTTGTAAAATCTATTCGAGGGAGAGGACGGGCTTCCTGCCTTGATTTGCTTCCGGCTCTTTTTTGACCGCAATCATGGGTGTTTTATTGCCTGGTCGTGTGACATGATTTATGTATCAGATACAGGAGTGTACTACGTCAGCGTTTAAAAAATATGTGAGACTGTTCTAGATTTTCTTCCCTTTGTTGAAGCGAGTCGTTTATTTTTTCAGAAACTTTGACCGAGATCTCGATGCCGTCGAAAATATTAGTTACCAAAATCATTCATCTTTTCCAAAAGGCACTAAACGCAATTGTACTGTATTCAAAACGAGGAAGAGATGTCTGTACTCGTTGGCCGTTGTACTAGTAGTTATGGTAATGGTTAATTTAGCGTTGACGTTGTGGATGATCAAAATAATGGATTTTTCTGGGGTATAAACCAGTACGGTGTATGTCTACGTTTCAGCGTTGATGCATTTTTTTCAGGAAGGTATAGGTCAGCTGAAAATAGTTTCCGGAGGTCTTAAGTTGCAAGGGAAAGTTTTTGTGCTAGATAGTTTGATAACCAATAATTTATTTTCAAGAATTGGACAACCTATCGTGGTGGAGTCCAACAGCAACGTAATTTTGAAATCCCGAAACAGAGGCGGAGGACTCCGCGGTTACGTTAAGATAGGTAATGTAAATTATGAAACTTTGGTAGAACTTATTCTATATGCGAAATAGAAAATAGTCAAAATAGTTTTCTTTATGAACATACATTGCGCATTTTATCAATATATTCATTTCGACTCGAAAATGATCTGGCAACTTGGGACATTGTAGTTTTGAATAAGAAAGTTTTCACAGTTTCACAACCAAAGGTTTGTATACAACTTTTCTTGTTGTTATTGATTGCTTACAAATAGGAAATCCAAGGCGTAAAAGATTGACCTCTCATTTTACTAACTTCTAATATTTTAATCATTGTAAAAGTTTAATTTGAATGAAATAAATAATAAAATAAAATAATTTATTTAAAAAATAAATAAAATAAAATTGTCAAATTAAATGGCAGATTAAAAAACAAAATTTTGCTGAGATGAAGAATTGACCTAATTAATTTAGTTAAAAAACGTTTTGGTTTTTTTTTATAAACAACCCATTTTCCATTTTAAAATTTCGTTCTTTTGAGTTTATTTCTTCTTTTTTTTCCCAAATTGGATCTCTGATTTATAAGAAATTGAAGATAAATGGTAATCACTATGTAATTCATTTTTCTTCGCCTCTGTAAATATATGCCAACATAATTACTTTCAAGAACCAAATTATTATTACACATACCGGGTGACACAAGAACACTATATAACTTTTAAACGGCTTGAGATAGCGATTTGAAATTTGGAAGGGTTAATATAGGCTGAATGTCCAATTTTTTGACAATATGTGGTCAATGGTTTCACTTCCGGTTTGAGCGGAAACGACGGTAACTTTCGAATTTTAAATGATACAATATATATTTTTTTGCATTTTTGGATTCAGGAGATCATTCTACGTAGAATAGGACGGTTTTTCTATTCTTTTTTTTTAATTCTTATTTAATTTTTGAAAATTGTGTATAGGAGGCTGTGACCATCATAAATACTTTTTACCCGGGTGACCCGGTAAAAAATGGAAAAATTAAAACTTTTCTTTAGTAGTCTAATGGCAAATAGAATTTGATGTAATGAACTATTAATTTTTTACGATAACCTAGTTTTTACAAATAGCACCCTAGTGAGAGCAAAAACTTTTTAAAACCGATACTTTTTTTGCAACATTTTGACGCCAAAATATTCAATATCCTTTACAAAATAAGCTCGCAGGAAGGAAAAAACCAGATAAGTAAATACATTTTTATAAAAACAAAATATTACTTAGGTGGCTTTATTTCTATTTATTATTAATTGTCCAGTCGGTAAGATTAAAAATGTAGAATGTATTTTTTCTTTTCAAATCTGTCACATTTTGGGAAAATTCAACACAATGTTTTGAAAATATATTAGAAAATAAAACCTCAAGAATGTTGCTAGAATCGATTTGAAAGCGGTATATCAACGTGTGTTACTGTAAAACAAGTTTTCCATTGACACAAAACATCACAGTCATTTATTTTGGTATTCCTTTGAATTAAATAAGGGCGATATATATTTACTTAATAACCAATTTGTTTCAATATGACACTTTCGTAAAATGTTTTCAAAATGTCCTGCTTCTTGTATAGGCTTTAAAAATTGAATTCGCTGTAATCCTTCCTAACATTGGAGTTACACTATCAAATACAGCCTGTATTCTTGTAGACACACTGGAGTTACATAAACACTTTCACGTATCCCCAAACAAAAAATTCTAACGGTGTCAATTTCAGTGCTGTGGCCGTGGGGGCCAATTGACTGGCCATAAAATCACGTAGGGGGTTTAGTGACATCTCTAAAATTATTGGGAGGCGAGCCATCCTGCTGCTTTTAATGTCACGGTAAGAGGTAAATCATCTAACGAGTCTTCAATTTCATTTCTTAGAAATTGTAAATATTGTGCACCAGTCAAGGCACCATGAAAAAAAGAGGTCCAATTATTCGTGTATCACTCCTGCTCAAACATTGATTCCGAACCGTTCTTGAAACTGTCCGGGACGAATAGTTCTGTTGTTCTGTCGGTTAAACATAGCATTATTTGAGAATCGTGAGACATCAGTGAACAAAATTAAATTAACGAAATTATTATTCTCGTCATGTTTTTCTAACAGCCAATTATAATATCGAAGTCTTCTAACAAAGTCAACTTCATAAAAATGTCGATGAAGGTTATACTTAAAAGAATGATAGCCGTGTTTTTTAAAGTTCCCCTGACAGATTCTCTTGAGATGTCTAATTCTAATGCCACTTCTCTTAGCGACGCAACTGGATTCACGTTGACGTATCCCACAACATTGATTTCAATTTCTTCACTTATAATAAAATTATCGTGTCGATTTTTTTGTGGATTTGTCATTTCTAAGGCGACGTCCCGGATAGCGGGTTGCATACAATGCACGGGCCTGTCTAGAATTTTTTCTGCATTCCATATCAGAAGCATATCAACTTTTTCTCGATTTGTAAATTGATTATTGTTTTCCACGATATTCCAAATCGACAAAATCGATAATCAGATAAAAATATACAAACTGTCAGAATATTCAATTATGCCGACTTGATGATGAATAGAAGCAAAGTCACCTAAGTAATATTTTGTTTTTATAAAAATGTATTTACTTATCTGGTTTTTTCCTTCATATGAGTGTATTTTTCAATGTATTTTGAAAATGTGATAATCATCTCCTAAATTCAAAAATGCAAAAAAATGTAGGTTGTGTCATTTAAAATTCTAAAGTTACTGTCCTTTGCGCTCAAATCGGAAGTGCAGTCATTGACCACATATTGTCAAAAAATTGGACATTCAGCCTATATTAACCCCTCCAAATTTCAAATCACTATCTCAAGCCGTTTAAAAGTTATATGGTGTTCTTGTGTCACCCGGCATATTTTATTTAATTGCAACTTACCTATTCGACAATTGAAAGGATTAAAAAAAATGTTATTTTCTCAACAAGTGCAGAAAGTGGCCGCACGCGACTGTAAAGATGTATATTCTGGATGACAGTTAGTTGCTATTAGTCATCAGCTCTTTAGTGTGCTATTTGGTTGGGAATAAGTAGTGAGAGTAACTTTGAAGCACTCATATTTTAATATACTTTTTGCAGTACCTAGTATTTTGTTTAATGATTTTGGTTTTAGCTATTTGCTCACTACCGGTTATCGCTAATTGTGTTAAATTTGTGTAACCAGTGTACAGGGTGTTTAAAAATTCAGTATTAAAATTTACTGACATATTTCTCATATTCACTATTTTTTTCATATAAGCATATCCCCAAACGCTCCGTGATCGATCCAAATTCGAAATATCAAGGTCAATTTTCATTTTAATGTTAAACAAACAAAAATAATTCATCTCAAGTAAGACAGACTATTTGAGATGAAACCAAAATTCAAAATGAAAATAGCCCGTTCCCTATAATTCAAAAAAACTTTGATAAAAAATAATTTCAATTTTTTTCCAGGTAAAGAGATATGCACAAATTACAAGACTCTAAAGTCTCTAAACATAACCGAAGATTTATTTAAATAAAAAATACCTCCTGTATATTTTGACAATCAACCAATCGGCTCTAAAATGTAATCCATGATTCGATTTTTATCTAAGCACTGTAAAAACTGCATTTGAAACTCTGCAAACTGGTGACCAAAAGTTTGTCATTGTGATTGTTGGGAAAATCGTGAAAAATGTGTCCCTAAAATCCTGATACTGAATTTTGAAATGCTTTATATAATTTTCGTCTAGATTTAAAAGCAAATGGCGCAAAAAGTCTAATTTAAATTGATAGAGGAAAACTAATTACCGCTTAATTGTTTGTTCATATTATCTGCGATTTGCTTAACTAATGGGCTTTTAGCATCGCACGGCCCACTTATTCAGTCAAAGAAGGTGGCGAAACGCCCAATTAAATCTTCCTTATCACACGTCCGCCACAAACGTATAGAATCTATTCAAATTTATCCCTGTTCCGCAGCAAAGGAGATACGGCTTTGCCACACGAACAAATTTTAAAATCCTAGAAAGTCTTGCGTGACGTTAAAAGGAACGGTGAGATTTCCACTTGCGGATTTATGCTGGAATTGATTTAACCTCCAAGACTTTTGCATTGTTTTGCATTTTCTCGTCTATCCCGTTGCGTTAATAGCACGTATGACGTTTTAAAAATGAAACTCGCGTCAAACATTCTCATCACAAGCGATATATTATGCATGTGAGGTTTTCTGTTGTTATTCCGTAATGTATTTGTTTCATTGAAAGAAGACACGTCAACCCGTTAAAATTTGATTCGAATTGGAATGGTTTCGGAAATTCCAACTTTGTGACTGAGTGTGAGTGAGACGGGTCGCAATGGGGATTGTTTTTTTTTGTCTAAGTATTAAGGAAATGTTTGCTTCGTCAATTCTTCTAACCGATCGGGTTTTTGGGATAAATCGTTTGTTATATATATATATATATATATATATATATATATATATATATATATATATATATATATATATATATATATATATATATATATATATATATATATATATATATATATATATATATATATATATATTGTTATATATATTGAAGATGTCAAACATTTTTAAAAATTAATATAACTGGTAAAAGCTATAAGTGAAGCATTTAGATCTATTTACATTACATGATCTGATTTTGTTTTATAAATAAATCCTAATTCATCGGGTTATAAGAATAAAACTTATAAAATTGATTTATATAAATTAAGTATTTTTACGTAATAACGAAAATTGTTAATTTGATTTTACCATTTGTATAAGATGGTAATAAATAGAGTAATCAAACAAGAACACCCTATTCTCGCATTTGTATAAATGTTGTAAATATTGTTTTCTGTTCTGTCACGCCTTTGTCATTGCAATTTAGATCAAGTTAATTAATATTTGATTTTATTACTACGAGTACAAACTTGAACCAGTCAGATTTCAGATGTTCTTCACAGGTCTTGTATATTTCGTGATCGTGCGTTATATTTTTGTTATTTTGATGCAGTGTTAGATATTTTAGTTGGCGATTTTGCAATTTGCCAATTAATTTGTGTTTTAAATTATTAAACAGAGCTATCTAAAATGCAATAATTATTTATCTTTTCTTTATGTGAAATAAACTAGTACGATCCATCCTCACCGCACTTGTTATAGCTGGAAACAGTGAGTCTAAACTGGAACCAAATTACGTTAGACCCATTCTATCGCCATAAATTTTGGTTCATGTTTCATCAGCCTTATCTATATACCACTAAAATTATACCAACCCTTGATATTCTCCAAACCCTCTTTTGGGTCCACTGCTATTTCTTAAATCTATAAATATATTTGGTGGCGTTTTTTAGTTAACAAAGTGGTTTCAGCGTTCAAAAAATGTAAAATGTTATGCATGGCGTAAGTCAATATTATCATATTTCTATTGTTTAATTGTGGTCTTTGCGGGTTGTTAAATTTTTGAATTAAATACAAGGAGTACTATATATATATTATATATAATTTTTAACCGTTATTTCTGTCATTACTTGTTTTCCAAATTTTGTTGGTACTATTGTGCCACGCACTGTTTAAGAGAGTTTGTTTATATATTTATTTATCTAAAACAAGGATTCATTATTAAAATCATTAAGGTTATATACATTTTATTCGAAACCTATCGCAAAAGCCACGCTTATTTTAAATTTTCATTAATGGTCATACTGAAAGATTTTTATGTTTAAATTTTCTAAAAAAATCGACTTTGTTGTTGTCCTAAAAGGGTAAAATGGTTTCAATTTATTTTTCCCCTTGCTCTTGTTTGCGTTATGGTCTTGAGATGAGCTACCATGCTCATTCTCAAAAAGTTTTTGATAGTGATTGTTTTATTTATTGACTTATTCCTTTAATTTTCTAAAATTTCAAAGATTTTTGTTTCAATGAATACTTGGTGATTCCGGTAGCTCCAATATTGTGTTGTGTTTTATGGTGTTGCGCAGTGAATTAAACAATACATATATTGATTCTGCTTTTCTTGTGGTGTAATAATAAAATAGGGGAAGGATCAACTACCGAATTACCCGATTTTGCATTGTTCTGTATTAATCAAGGAAGTTGAACAAAGGAACCCTCAACTCATATCTGTCGCACGATTGTTGGATTGTTGTTGGCTTATAGATTATTTAATAAGTGTTATAAAAAGGTATTCTTTGGAATCCTATTTCGGGAGAGCGGATTTCCAAACCATAATTCGGCAAATAGACAATATAAAAGAAAAATTGGTATTTTTATTGGGGAAACAGTTAAATTAAAACCAACTGATATTTTTTTTTCAAAATATCTAATAAAACTTGTAGGCTGGATATTTGGGAAAGACAAGCAAAACTACAAATCCAAAAAATATATCCGAAAATTTTTTTTCAGTTTCAGGTTTTTAATCACTTGTTACATGGACACGATTTATATTGATTTAACATATATTAATGCGTCAATTTCTAGGAACGGTTTCAGAATATGTTATGTTCCAGGCAATGATCATCTTGAATGTCTAGCTGAGAATTTCAGAATATTAAACGAAAACGGTGTCATATTCTCGGCAACTTCCGACGAAGTTTTTGTAGGAACTGAAAGCTTGAGGATAAGAGGCGACGGGGGCACGAACTTTAAAGGTTCGGTTCAGGCAACTACGATCAGAGCCGAGAGCGGAGAAGATTTAAAGTAAGTTTATCAAATACCTATGAACTTTATATTCATAATGTAGAATACATCCACAATAATGCCGTTACGCTGTCAAATGGTGACCTGAAGGTGTTCTCATTTAATTAAATGAATGACACACGTACATTTTGCGATTCCGTGTTAAGTCCGTATGTCAAGTGACAAAAAGTATGAGGCAAATTAAATTTAAGTTGACCACGGGAAAGGAAAATGTTTTGAAAATATCACAAGTTGAGATAATTCTAGTTAGCTCTTCAATTTTCATGTTCTTTCGAGTCTCAGGATAATTTATAAATTTCCGAACACTAAACTAAGCTGGTAAAAATATTGTTGCATTTAAATTACAGAAAATTTTAAAAACAATAATATATATTTCTTGAAACGTGTTTAAAAATTTCAATATTAAACGTTGTAAGGGTTGAGCTTTTTCAGTTTAGTGTCATTAAATACACACGGTGGTACAACTTTTTTCACCTGTACACTATGTTTGGAAAAAGTAGTTCAATAGCACCTTAGTGAGTAAGACAGTCTTCTAATTAGCACCATCTTGAACCAGTAATAAAAACTTACTAGTCAACAATTAATAGTCAAAAAATGTATAAAAATTTTCCAGTTCAAAGTGTTTTAGCAAATGAAATATTTACATTGCAACATTACAGTTGTACACCGTGTGCCAAATAAAACGACCCACTATACGATCTGGAAACCCATAGGAGATAACGAAAAAAAGTTTCGTACTAAAGTTTCTGGGACTCTCCGAAAGATTTAAAGTATTATAATTTTGTTGATACAGGGTGTCCCAAAAGTGTCCCCTCCGACATTAACATTGTTATTTAAAATCTAACACACTATATGTCCACATTTTTGGAATACTTGGTTAAAATAAAGGTCACTTTCTTAAGGAATCCCTATTCGAATTTTGCATAATTTAAGCAGAAATTGAGGTTATGTGCTTTTTTTCATATTTAGATTGCCCCGTATAAAATTGTGTTGCAGGTTGCAACGAAAATTTAAACACAGACTATGAATATGATGTACTATTTAATCAGTTTGACTGATGCTTCACCTTATACAGAGTGTCCCAAATAGATGGTGCCGTTTTGACGAATTCAATTAACAAAATCTCAAGATTTTCAAATGGAACATCTTATATTTTTATTCAGATATCAATTCTAGGATAAAAAATAAGGTAAGTTTGTAATTTATCTTATTGTTAATTTTTTCTTACTTTTTGAGATATTCGAGGTTTAAGATAGCACCCGTATAAATTCTTGTTGAATTTAAAGCTGACCACATTAGGTCACTTGTTGGCAATATTAAGTATCTTTTAAATGGCAAAGACATGATCCTACTTCTTTTAAAGATATATTCCAGATATAAGAATAAAACCTATTGCTAACAATGCAGATTTTATAAAACTTCAGAATTCATATTTAAAGAAATATTTAATGGTTAATTATCTCGCTTGATTGAAAATACCAAATAACAAAAATAAGTAATTAAAGTTTATAGACTAACTAACCAAGGTAACAAATTTGAATAAGTAAATCTAAAACTAAAACTAAAAATTGTTCGTTAATTCGGTCCATAAAGTTAAAAATGTTCCTCTCAAAATGCTCGTTTCATCTGGCATTGTGGTCTAAACAAACTTTGACATTTCTGTTTGTCTTTGTTGTTTTTTATATTTCTATTTAAAAAGTTCTTAGTTGACAAGTTTTTTGTTAGTATAAATTTTATTTGTATTTTAAATAAGTTATAGTTTTTTGGTTACCTTATAAAGTTTAATTATTTATTTTTGTTGTTAGGTATTTTCAATCAAGATAAATAATTAAGTTGTTTCATTAAATATGAATTCTGAAGTTTAATTAAATCTGTTAAAGTGTGTAGTATAGAGTCGATTTTGCTCAAAATCTCCAAGTATTAAGGGACACCCTGTATTGTTAGCAATATGTTTTATTCGTTTTTCTGGAGTCTTATGTATTTAAAAAATATCTAATATTGCCAACAAGTGACCTAATGTCGACAGCTTTAAATTCTACAAGAATTTATACGGGTGTTATCTTAAACCTCGAATTTCGAATAAGTAAGTAAAATTTAAATATAAGATAAATTACAAACTTATATAGGGTATTCCATTTCAAAATCTTGAGATTTTATTAATTGAATTCGCCAAAACGGCACCACCTGTTTGAGACACCGTGTATAAGCTGAGGCGCATCTGTCAAACCGATTGAGTACTGCATCATCTCCTTAGTCTGTAAATTCTCGTTGTAGTAGCGTCACAACACAATTTTTGTATGGGGCAATCAAAATATGAGAACAAAACACATACCCTCAGTTTCTGCCTAAACTATGCAAAATGCGAACGGGATTTTCTTAAAAAAGTGACCTTTATATTAACCAAGGATTCCAAAAATGTCGATATGTACAGTGTGTTAAATATTCAGTAGAGTCCAATAAACTTTTGTATCGTATAGATCGTATAGTGGGTCGTTTTATTTGGTACATATGGAAATTGTATGAAATATATTTGTTTCAGATTAGAGTCCCCTACAAGGACACTATCCATAACCGCAGCGAAAGAGATTCACTTTGCGTCGAAAGGGGGATCCATCAACACACTTGCTTTAAACGACATCAGCTTCAACAGTGCTAACGGAGCTATTCGTCTTCAATCTTCATCGGTTATCGTTACGCATCTACCAACTGCAAAGGCCCAGTCGTCACCGGTCGGTTCAAACACGTTCGAAGTGTTTCAAGTGTGCGTATGTGAAAACGGGAAACTTTTTCTGGCTGATCCAGCTTCTATATGCGCTTCGGAAAACGACGAGCAGTTTTGTCGGTAATGGCACAATAGGAATTAACTTCCGTAAATAGCTGATTATACAATTTTGTATATAGTGAATATATTTTGTATTTATTTGTAAATTTGTCTTTCATTAAACAAACAGCCAGCGGGGTCATATAAACGGCCAGTTGGAAAGGTTGATAGGGAGCAGTGATTAGCTTATCAGGCAAGTATTTTGCAGCGTAATAATTGTAAACAATACAAACGCTTTGAAAGCAAGACACATTTGTTCCGCAACAAGACAAATTAAAATATCCTAGTTTTTCATTCAAATTCCTACCATATTTGACCTAACTCTACGCCCCTATAGTTCAAAAACTCGTAATGGTTTTGTCCGATGTGCTACGAGTTTTGGATAAGCAGAATTGTGATTAAATGTCCTCCGTATTTCGACCGGTAACGTAATTTCGGACACCCATGGTCTAGCCGATGTTTTGTTAGTTAATTACTAAGGATCTCCGAGGATTCCATTATCAAACGTTCCCCTGGGGTAGAAAATTGTGGCGGATGGAAGCGCATATTAAATGAATATGTTTTTATGCAACCTACTGCACTAGACTGTCGTGGTAGGAATGTATAATAAGGAATGGAGAAGTTCTTTAAAGCAAGTTACTCAAGAATATCTGGTACACTATTTATTAATAATGTTAACTTTGATGTGAAAGCAAGTAACTTTTTCGTTGCCATCGAATTGAGATTTATTGTGGAATGTTTTAAAGCTCCTTGTTTTTCTTTCTCTCACTTACCTAACAAATGCAACGAACATGAAAAGAAGGAAACATGTACAACAATGGACTGAACAAAAAATTTCCAATGGGAGGGGAGCGTAAATTCTAAACCTCATTTTTCCAAACAGAATTTTTACGGCACGACTAAACGACCTAATAAAATTTTAATTGTTAGAAACAAGATTTATATTTTATAATATTCCGTATATCATGCTTATGGGGTCGTTATACTGGGTCACAACTCATCTATACCACTTCCCGAATTTAATCTGACAGGCGGTGAAGTTTCGAATATACGGCGCATAAACTTTCCAAGTTTCTTATGCGCTCGCGGCGTTTAGAGAACAAGGAAGTGTACAAATAAAAAGTTAAGCTTCGATTGGATAACATAGCAAATGGTGGAAGGCAGAAAATCGCAATCTAATCACCATTTTGTTACCAAGTTTTATGAAAAATTTCCAATGAAATCTAGGTTCACTATTTCCCGAACCAAAAAATTGTGGGTACGTAGATATGCGACTGAGCGTCTGCAATTATGCACGAATCAAGCTCGCCACTTCGGATCTCTCTGGGGTTTTATTCACGGGTTTTTTGGAGCGATCTATGTTTTAGGTAGATTTTAGCCATGGTATTTTGACATTTGTCAAATTTGATGGTCATGTCATGTGAACGTATTTCTGCAGAAGCATTTGGTGATATCGAAAATGATTTTCACTTTGCATTTTCCTTGTGCTTTTGCTGCCGGATTGTGCACAATTTCCCTAAGCTAGGAGAATATGTATTAACGCCGTATTTTAGTTTATAACATTCAACTCACTTTTTATAATAATCTGTGATGATAAATTGGTTTTAAGGAGGAGTATTACATATAAATGTTAATTCTATTTTCCTAGATCTATTTTTACTCTTTTTATCATTTTTTCTATTTTCTTTCCTCAATAAATAAATATTTAAGTTATTATAATGAAATGAATTGTTTAGTTAACTCTTTATTATCATAGTCAACTTATTATTACTCCGAAGGTTGAACGCTTCTATTTAGCATATGTTTAGCATAATATGTTTTATTTATTTTTATTTAATTCACACGAACTCTTTACAGACACTACTTTGCGAATTAGAAGAAATATTTCTTTTTAATTTCAACGCCAAAACAATAATATAGCTGATTTACATGAATATTATTTCTTCTTATTATTTTAATTTTGTGGTAGGAAAATCGACTCCCGGGCCCATAGTTTGGCATCTTTTAAATAATATGCTTGTACACCCGGTTGCGGTAATATGTGACCCAGTACACTACAAAATGCACGACACATATGGAGATATATTATCATCTGTTCATTGTATTCTGGGAACAAGGGAACCTGGCTTACTGGAGAAGTAATTTCACTGGTCAGTAGATCCTAGTCGGCTGAACTGCACAATAGAACAAAGGCTCTATTTGCATTATTACTGTAAATTAACAAGCAAATAAGTACGAGTACAATTCACTAAATTAACACACAACGAAGATTATTTTGTTTACGTCGATTAATGTTTCCCATTTGACAATGATCAATGGTTAAACCGATAAATTACAAAAAAAAGTAATTTTATTTCATGCCTGGCAAGGTGGGATAATGTAAGTAATTTAATTTCAGGATTGGCTTTTAGTGCAATTTTAAAATTTTCCACTTTTTTCTGTTGCCGCTATAACGAAAGGTTGCAGATCTATTAACAACGAGAAGGTGCTCAAAGGTTCTGTGAAAGAAAATGCCGAACAAAAAATCACACCTCTATAACCTCGACCGTTTTTGATTTTTCCGGTACAAAAGGGAAACTCATCTAGCATGTATTTAGAAATAGTAAAAGCATGTAAAAGCTCACTTCAAAGAGCCATTTAATAAAAGAGTCTTTGAAGCGTTATTTGTGCACCAAGATTGGGAAAAGTACAAGCCATTTTCTTTGTAAATAGTTTGGGCAAGCAATTTATATGTCGATGATATTGAATACGAAGTACACATTTTTGCAATAACTTATAATCCAATCCATGAATCCGTATGAATTGGGCACTAATTCAAAAGAAATAGAGGACTAATTATTGATGAAAATGTAGAACTGCTATATCGGAAGTTGTATCGGATAGAATAATTTGATGTATATCAAAAACCGATTACGGAAACTGGCAGAAAAATATGACTAATACGTTGTCGCCAGCATATGCAACTCAAATTTTGTTGAATTTGAATATTATATGCAATTCGCTATGCATTGCTGTCTAGAACGCATATTGACCCTAATTTATTTTTATTCACAAAGTAGATCTATTCGGTGTATCTAACTACCTCGTATGTGACAGAATGATACAAAACTTACTTTATATAATTGCTTTTATAGTTACATTATTTAAACTACTTCTTAGCTATTCTCTCACGCTTGCAGCCATCAGAGTAGCCTACCTTGGGCTGTTTCACTGCGTGCTGTCTTATGGAATAGTGCTTTAAGGATGGGTCAAATATTCGGACAAAGCTTTTTGATAGCAAAAAAGGCCGTCGACTGTAGACTGTAGACTAAATTTTACCAACCTACTGAGTATGACCCATATACACATACAATTTAAAATAAAAATGAAAGGCTCTTTAACTGAGATTGTATCTCACAATACTAATCAATACTCGAAGCTACTCAGCGAGAAAGCTGTTTAAGTGTATTTGAACCTGTTTTCTGTTACTAACTAATTATATTTGTCTATAACATGAAAAAATTATTTACTGTTCAATATTTGTCTCAATATTTTGTTATTTGCCATTGACGTACCATTTGTTGGTGTATAATGTACCTGGATGTCCATAACTAACACATTTTTGCTACATATAGCGGGAAACTTCTGTGCCGTTTTCAATTTTATTTTTATTTTTACCTTAATCGGATGATGTTGATTTAATAACACTTTTTAGTTTATTATTTCTGCACACAAAATAGAATATAGGAAAATTGGTTGTATATTATTAGTGAATAATATCCTACTTCTTACCGAAATATTTAAAGAAAAGCACAATCCTCTTGGGGTGAAATCGCGACTGAAACTAGTTTACATTTTATAGCCGAGACGCTATTCGATTCCGACGACAATCTCGAAAAATACTCTGTTTTCCACGTTATTGGGGATTATTTACAAAGTGTCAAATTTGATTATATAGCCCTTATCGGGCCATCTTTAATATGCGTTCCCCATTCGAAACGAAACCGTTTACTGTCGCTGCCGCTATTTTCCTGTGCTTCTCGCCGCTTCGCAGTTCATTTCAAGCGAATCACATCGCACTTTTATTATTTCCACGATGACTGAAAAATGGATACATCGACAGCGTAACTTACCGCGGCTTACAAACTTGATGTACTTTTAAAATTCCTGGAATAAGCCTCAAAATGTTTGTATATGTCTGATTCAAAAATGTAAATCGAATATGTACGCAGTATGCGGACCTTCTGACTATTGCTTTTATGTAGACAAGTTTAAGTCGAAAATTCGCTTTCTAAAATAAGTAACCAAAATTTTAGAAAAAAATGAAATCGTATTCTTATAAAAACTTACATTTTATTTTATGTTAATTTTGATTTTGGTCTCCTTAATTAAAAGGGCCATTTTATAGAAACATTGCTATAAGATATTTATTTAAAAAATACTAATTATATTTCTCGTCGGTGCTTGTTTTGAAAACACCTGGCGCAATTGTGGACCTCGATCGTGTCGTTGACTTGCCAATTGCAAAATAGAAAAATTTTCAAAATGTTTACAAATAAATATTTGTATGTCTTTACTGTCTACTTATAGCCGTCTGTTTTTTTAACGCAATATCAAATAAATTGGTATAAATGAAACTATTATGCTCTCTTTTTACGTTTGTTATTATTATGAAATTACGCTCTATGTTTTGCTACAAATTTATTTGACCTTTCAATCTAGAACATAAGCATAAATTAAATTTAGAAATCACCAAACATTTATTTTATGCTAAAATTTTGTATACAGGACATAATGCACTTTTTATTTTTCCAAAAATTACTAACACGAATTGGCAGCTGGAACGAGATTTTACCTGCTGCTTGAGTTTCATCGTGTTGACAACCTAATTTGTTCGATGCTGTTCAGAACAATTTTCCACCATTTTCTGATGTTTGTTTGTTTTTGAAAAATATTTATTAGAGATTACCTTCTATTATTCAAACAGCGGTTGATAGTAACAATACTCAAAGCAAGTTCTAGTTGTTACTTGCCCTTCAATTACAGAACATTCTGCCATAAACAATGTAAGTAC